TGCTTTATATATCTTGGTGCTCTTTCATTTGGAGCATAGATGTTAATTATGGTTATGTCATCTTGCTCAATTGACCCTTTAATCATGAGACAGTGTCTTTCTTTATCTCTTATGCTGGTTTTCACCTTAAAGTTTATTTTATCAGAGATTAGGATTGCCACTCCTGATTGTTTTTTATTGCAATTAGGTTGGTATATATTTTTTTCCATTCTTTAACTTTTAGTCTGTTTTTGTCTTTGTGTGTAATGTGTGTCTCTTGCGGGCAGCATATTGAAGGGTCTTGTTTTCTTATCCATTCAACAACTGTCTGTCTCTTCACTGGTGCATTTAATCCATTGACATTCAGTGTAATTATGGATAAGTATGAATTAACTGCTGGAATTATGTTAATTTTTGGTAGTGCTGTTTGTTCCTTTGTTCTGCATGCCTTCTTGTGCTGAGTTTGTGTTTTTTGTGCTGTTTCGTGTCAGTTTCTTCTTAGTTTTAATGTTTGCTTGTTCTGCTTGGATCTTAATTTTTAAGGTAAGTTGTGAAGTATTAATTTTCTTTGGGATTATTAAGTTTTCCCTGTGTTTAAGATAGTCTATTGTATCCTGCAAACTATTTGACCTCCTCACCACCTGGGTCTCTGTTCCTATAGTTTTCCCTTTTTTGACATTGTTAATATTTTGATCTTTGGTGGCCTCACAGGTCCACTGAATTCATTGCTGTAATTGTGTTCTGTATGAACTCTGCTATCTGTCGGCTGAGTTCCAGGTGTGTTGCCACATCTGTCAATCTCTGGTTGTTATCTTTTCTTACTGGTTTTCAGGCCAAAGAACTCCCTTTAGGATGCTTTGAAGTGCTGGATTGTCTTTGCCAAAATCTCTTAGCTTCTGTTTATCCTGGAATGTTTTGATTGCACCATCATATTTGATTGACAGTTTTACTGGATAGACGATTCTTGGTTGGTAGTTTTTTTCTTTTAGGGTTTTGTGTATGTCTCCTCATTGCCTTCTTGCCTATATGGTTTCTGTTGAGAAGTCAGAGCTTAACCTGATTTGCTTGCCTTTGTAGGTAACACTTCTCTTTTCCCTGGTTGCTTTTAGGATTCTCTCCTTTCCTCTGATATTGGAGAGCTTGATTATGATATATCTTGGTGATTTTCTTTTGGGATCTAGCCTTCCTGGGGTTTGTTCAGCTTCTTGAATATTTATCTTCTCATCCATCAAGATGTTAGGAAAATTTTCTTCCAGAAGCTCTTCAACTATCTCTTCTGTGCACTTCTGTGATTCCTCCTGTTCCAGAATGCCAATAATTCTTAAGTTATTCCTCTTCATGTTATCCAGCATGAATCTTAGTCTCTCTTCAGATTTTCTAATCCTTTTTTTTCTGCTTGCTCTTCTATCGTAGTAGTATTGAGAGATTTGTCTTCCAGCTCACTGCTTCTGGCTTCCATCTCTTCCATCCTACCCCTTTACCCTTTCAGTGTATTGTCCATTTATGATATTTTGTTATTAATCATCTGGACTTCTTTTTGCAAGTTTTGGATTGTTTCCAATGCTGTATCTATCTTGTTTGATTGCTCCTGTAGCACTTTCCTGACTTCTTCCTTATTTTCCTCTACCCCTTTTCAGAGCATTTGAATTTGTTTCCATATCATTCTTCTGAATTCCTTCTCAGGTAGATCCAGAGCCTACTCTTCTACTGGAAAATGTGTGTCTGCTACCAGCTTATTTGTCTCCATCATTGTTTTCTGTTTTTGGACATGTGTTGAGATCTTTAATTGTATTTTCTTAGACATTTTCAGTAGTTATGTGGGTTTTTAGTGCTTAAATGGATGTATGTTGCTTTGTTGTTAAGCTTAGTGAGTGTCTCCTGGTGGATATGATCTGGAGATAGGTTTTCCTTTTCATGTGTAATGCCTAGTAGCTGGTATTGGCTCTTGTCCAGATGGTGGGGTATTACAAGGTATGCTTGTAGCTTGACTATATGAGCATAGTTGCTGTCTCTTCTTGGGTAAGGTAGGGGAGAAATCTCCAACCCCTGGGAAAAAAGTGAGGCCAAAAGGACCAAAGACAAAAACAATATAAAATCAGAGCTAGAAACCACCATTCAAAAACAAAAATAAAATTGTGATTGACTGCCTACTGGCCTTTGTTGTGCAGGCACATATAAAGGGTCTTGCCCATGTCAATGTTGGGGTTGGGTTCCAGAGTCAGATGTCATAAGAAGCAGCCTGAGTATTTCCTCTTTGTGTTATGAGAAAGCTGTGGGTGCAATGCTGGACACTTTTGGGGTTGTGCTCAAACCACTTGAAGGCATCTGGGCTGGGCGGTGAGGACATGATCAGGGTGAAGAGGAAACATAGGTGAAAAATGAAAAGTGAAAGATGAAAAATTGGTCACACCTCTCCCTTCAGATGCGCAGCTCTGTGGCTTCTAGTGCTGGGTCACTGCCTCCGCTTGGCTGTGGCCCTGTCCTCCCACCTCAGGACCTCTGGCTGCCAGGATCAATTCAGCTGGGATCGATTCAGAAATCACCATATTTTGCTTCCGAAGGCAGATTTCTCCACAGCTGGGTGCAGGAAACTTAAAATCCAAAATGCCACAGCTGCTCTGCAGACTGCTTTTTCTCTACTTTTTCTGGGCATTAGCAGAGGAGCTTTCACGATCTCTCATTCTTTAAGCATAGTTTCACTGAATATAGTATTCATGATTGATACCTTTTTTCCTTTAAGCATTTTCATTACATCATTGATGATACATCATTATATGACTCTATTGCCTTCTCACATACAATGTTTCTGAAGAAAAAATGGCGCTTAATCTTATTGGGGATACCTTGCATGTAACTGTTTGCTTCTCTGTCACTGCTTTCAGGATGCTCTGTCTTTCATATTTGAGAGCATAACTATGATCAAAGTGAAGATGACTTAAAATACTGATGAAGATCAAAGACCACAGCCTTTGGCATGGGTTATACTTCAATGTAAAGGAAATAAAAATCCTCACCACTGGATCAATAAATAACATCATGATAAACAGAGAAAAGATTGCAGTTGTCAAAGATTGTGTTTTGCTTGGATCCACCATCAATACTCATGGAGCAGCAGTCAAAAAATCAAACAATATTTCTGCCCGCTCCCTCTCCCCCCAGCACTGCTCTGGCTGCACTGCTTGAGCTCCGAGCTCCCGGCTCCTGCTAAGCTAGCGCCGCCACCAGCAGCCAGCCACCATCATGATCATCTACCGGGACCTCATCAGCCCTGATGAGATGTTCTCTGACATTTACAAGATCCGGGAGATCGCGGACGGGCTGTGCCTGAAAGTGGAGGGGAAGATGGTCAGCAGGACAGAGGGTAACATCGAAGACTTGCTCATCGGTGGAAACGCTTCCGCTGAAGGCACCGACGGTGAAGGCACAGAAAGCACAGTAGTCACGGGGGTTGACATTGTCATGAACCATCACCTGCAGGAAACCAGCTTCACAAAAGAAGCCTACAAGAAGTACATCAAAGATTACATGAAATCAATCAAAGGCAAACTTGAAGAACAGAAACCAGAAAGAGTAAAACCTTTTATGACAGGGGCTACAGAGCAAATCAAGCACATCCTGGCTATTTTCAAAAACTACCAGTTCTTTATTAGTGAAAACATGAATCCAGATGGGATGGTTGCTCTGCTGGACTATCGTGAAGATGGTGTCATCCCATATATGATTTTCTTTAAAGATGGTTTAGAAATGGAAAAATGTTTACAAATTTGGCAATTATTTGGACCTGTCACCTGTCATCTTAGCTGGCTGCTGCTCTTCATCCACACAACACCAGGACTTGGACAAAATGGGACTGATGTCATCTTGAGACCTTGATTTATTTGGAGCAGAGGCATTTTTTTTTTTTAAAGGGAAAAACGTGTAGGTTATCTAAAAATAAAATGCATTAAAAAAAATCAAACAATATGTTGATTGTTTGGCAATCTGCTGCACATGTTAAAAGTATTCAAGAGAAAAGATGTCAGTTTGAAGACTAATGTGTGCCTGACCCAATCCATGGTATTTTCAGTATGGGCTGCCAAAAGAACCAATACATCCATTTTGAAAGAAGTGCAGCCAGAGTGCTCCTTAGAGGCCAAGATAGCCAAACTTCGTCTCGCATACTTCGGATATATTGTCAGGAGGGACCAGTTGCTGGAGAAGGATATCATGTTTGGTAAGATGGAGGGTCAGAGAAAAAGAGGAAGACCCCCAACGAGATGGATTAGCCAAGTGGCAGCATCGATGGATTCAATCATGTCAACAACAGTGAGGTTGGCTCAGGATTGGGCAGTGTGTCGTTCTGCTGTGTTTAAGGTTGCTATGAGTCGGTACCGACTCAATGGCACCTAACAACAACAACAACAACATATACATGTGAAAGTTGGACAATGAATGAAGAAAGCAAAAAATCATTAAGAAAAAAAGAAAGAAGGAAAAGGTCAAAATGGATGTTAGAAGAGACAATGAAACTAGCTCGCCAGCATAGAGATGTTAAAGCAAATGGAAGAAATGAGGAGACACAAGAGCTCAACAAAAAATTCTGAAGATAAGCTCGAGAAGATAAAGCCAAATATTACAACAAAATGTGCAAAGATCTGGAGTCAGAAAACCAAAAAGGAAGAACATGCTCAGCATTTCTCAAGATGGGGGAACTGAAGAAAAAATCTAAGCCTTGACTTTCGTTATTGAAGGATTCTCTGGGCAAATTATTGAATGATGCAGAAAGCATCAAAAGAAGATGGAAGGAATATCCAGAGTCACTGTATCAAAAGGAAATGGTTGATGTTCAACCATTTCGAGAGGTAGCATTGGATCAAGAGCCAATGATACTGAAGGAAGAAGTCCAAGGTGCATTGAAGGAATTGGCCAAGAACAAGGCACCAGGAATTGATGGAATAAAAATGGAAATCTTTCAAGAAAGTGAGGTGGCACAGGAGGCACTCACTCATCTATGCCAAGAAATTTGGAAGACAACTATCTGGCCTACTGAGTGCAAGAGATCCATATTTGTGCCGATTCCAAAGAGAGGTGACCCAATGGAATGCGGAAATCATCTGACAATCTCTTTGATATTCCATGAGAGTAAAGTTTTACTCAAGGTAATACAGAAATGGCTGCAAGCATACATTCACAGAGAACTTCCAGAGGCTCAAGCCAGATTCAGAAGAGGCCGGGGAATGAGGATATCACTGCTGATGTCCGATGGATCTTGGCTGAAAGCAGAGACTACCAGAAAGATGTTTACCTGTGCTTTATTGACTCTGCAAAGTCTCTCGATTGTGTGGATCTTGACAAGCTATGGACAACATTGCGAAGTATGAGTAGTCCTGAACACTTAATTGTGCTCATGAGGAATCTGTACATGGACCAAGGGGCAGTTGTTCAAACAGTACATGGGAACACTGAATGGTTTAAAATTAAGAAAGGTGTGCGACAGGGTTGTATTCTTCCACCATAATAATCTGAGATGATGGCTTATATGAGGAAAATGTGGCACCAGGATTGGAGGAAGACTCATTAACAACTTGTGATATGCAAATGATACAACCTTGCTTGCTGAAAGTGAAGAGAACTTAATATATTTACTGATGAAGATCCAAGAGCACAGCCTTTGGTATGGATTGCATCTCAAAAATCCTCACCACTGGACCAATAAACAACATTCTTATCAATGGAGAAAGATGGAAGTTTTCAAGGACTTCATTTTTCTTGGATCAACTATCAAAATTCACAGAAGCAGCAGTCAAGAAATCAAATGACGTATCACATTAGACAAATCTGCTGCGCAAGATCTTTTTGGCGTGTTGAAGAGCAAAGATATCAGCTTGAGGACTAAGGTGTGCCTGACCCAAGCCATGGTATTTTCAATAACCTCATATGTATGTGAAAGCTGGACAGTGAATAAGGAAGGCAGTAGAAGAATGATACTTTTGAGTTATGGTGTTGGAGAAGAATATTAAGAGTATCATGAACTGCCAGAAGAACAAACAAATCTGTGTTGGAAAAAGTACAACCAGAATGCTCCTTAGAAGCAATGATGACCAGACTTCATCTCTCATACGTCAGACGTATTATCAGGAGGGGCCAGTCCCTGGAGAAGGATCTCGTGTTTGGTAAGGTGGAGGGTCTGCTAAAAAGAGGGAGACCCCTCAATGAAATTGATTTGCACAGTGGCAGCAGCAATGGGCTCAAGTGTAACAATGATTGTGAGGTTGGTGCCGGAGGGTCGAGTTTCATTCTGTTGTGCATCAGGTTGCTATGAGTCATAGCCTACTTGACAGCACCTAACAACAACTATAACGTGTTGCAATGTATCCTGCCTGTAGTTCTGCAAACTTGTTGGATTTATAGATTCGTGGTCTTCATTAGGATGAAGATTTGTTGTTGTTGTTATTTTTTCAAATATTCTTTCTTTCTGTACCCTTCTGGACTTCCCATGAAGCATATGTTCGGTATCTTCTTGTCTCTTAATTCCACTAAACTGTGCTCAGCATTCTTGAACCTCCACTCTTACTGCTTTTCAGTGACTAAATTTTTTAACTATCTTACCCTGTAATTTGCTGATTCTTTCTTCTACATGATTAAATATGTTGGTAAGTCCTATTGTGATTCTCATTTCAGTTACTGTTCATTTAGTAACAATATTTCTTTTTTTTGAAATCCTCATTTTATTCTTGAACTGTTTTCCATATTTCTTTTAGCTCTTTGCCTCTGTTCCCTTAGTCCTTTCATTATATTGAATGTTGTCTTATATCCTTCCTTGTTTTCATTATTTGATCATCCTTAGATGGTCTGTCACTCCTTTTGTCATGTTCATTTGGATGGATCATTGTTTCTCTCTTTTTGTATGTTTTGTGATTTTTTGTTGTTGTTGTTGAGGAATTGGCATTTTCAAGGTTGTTAACTTTGTCAGTTTTCTTCAGTTTTTGACATTGCTGTCCACACTGATGTATGAAAGACATTTTTAGTCCAAGGGAGCCTTCAGATTCTGCTTATCGTTTCCTTTTCCTCTCTGTGATAAATCCATCTTATTCTTTGGTTTAATTAGGATTTGAGAGTTCCAGATCTAGATTTTCAACTTTCAGTCTCTTCTAAACACACTTGAGTTCATGCTGTGGATACTTCTGTCCACTAGCAGGCGCTGTCACTCAAGAGACCTATTGTGTAGTAATCAGTCTTCTTACCTGGCATGCAGACACTCCTCTCTGGTTATCATTCCCTTCCCTTCACTGTTTCTGTAACCGTGGTTTTAGTCAGAAAACTCACAACCAATTAGCCACCTGGTTTTGCCCTCTGACTTTGCCTAGTGCTTCCTTCCCCGCCCTGCTTGTGTTTGAGCTGACGTTCTGGGGAAGTTCCGGTGGACTCTCCTTATTTCAGGAGGAGGGCCTGGCACTCCTCTGGAGAGCTGTTTGTTGGTTTCAGAGCCCTAGTGCCATCTAGTGGTCGGCAGAGCAGTCTCCACTTAGCTGACCCACCTCCTAACGTCCCTGTAAGAAACCTTGTGTAGGAGTTCCCATCAATCCAGCAGTTACCAGTTGTGGGAGGTCTCGTCACTCTTAACAGGCATCTAAGGAGGTCAGCACACTGACTGCGGAGGGTAGCTTCCACTAAAATGCTGGCTTCCTAGCACATAGCAGCGCTGATCTTAAGGGGAAGCAAATAAACCCAAACGGATCCCCAGGTTAATCCTATTGGTTTCAGAGGCCTGAATTATGGAATACACAGGACGGGAGGGTGCTGACTACGGGAGCAGACTCCACTGCAGTGGCCTTCTGTCACATTTTTGCAACAAACTTGTTGTTAAGTGCCATCGAGTCAGAACCGACTCATAGCGACCCCATGCACAGCAGAATGAAACAATGTCCGATCCTGGGCCAACCTCACTACTGCTGCCACACTTGAAGCCATCAATGATGCCACCTGGCTGATCCATCTCATTGGGGGTCTTCCTCTTTTTCTCTGACCCTCCATTTTACCCAGCATGACATCTGTCTCCAGCGACTGTTCCCTCCTGACAATATGTCCAAAGTATGAGAGACGAAGTTTAGCCATCCTGGCCTCCAAGGAGCACTCTGGCTGCACTTCTTCCAAAACAGATCTATTGGTTCTTTTGGCAGTCCATGGCACTTTTAGTATTCTCCTCCAACACCACAATTCAAAGGCATCAACTCTTCTACGATCTTCCTTATTCACTGTCCAGCTTTCACATCCATATGAGGTTATTGAAAATACCATGGCTTGGGTCAGGCACACCTTAGTCCTCAAGGTGACATCTTTGCTCTTCAAGAGAACCAACAACCTTATGTTTCAAATTGATCTTACAGTCCAGTGCTTATCCCTCAGTGCCACACCAGGACTAGCAACAGACTAGCAACCAACAATTCCCAGGTGGTTTTTCACTCTGGTTAGATTCTTCTTATCAGAGGGCCCCCTGGTAGATGGTTGTGGATGCTGATGCAGGCTGACCTCCAGACTCCTGCTTCCTTACCCAGTCAGCAGTCCTCGGCACCATCCAGAAGTGGGGGTAGACTAACTCAAACTGATGCCCAGGATGGTCTCTTCTATTGGGTTCAGAGGGCTGAGGTATGGGGTGCATGGGAAGGTCAATAAAGTTTTTACAATGGGAGCAGGCTCCACTCCCAGGCCTTCTGTGTCAGTAGGCTTACAGTCAAGAGATTTGGGTTGGGGAGGTGCTGGCACACTCCAAATGAATCCACAAGGAGGTCTACCTTGTTGCTACCTGAGCCCCTTGGTGAGTGTAGCCTCCACCACAAATATCTTAGTCATCAGTCATCATACCTTAGTCATCAGTCTTCAGCATCAGCTGAAGG